TTTTTCAGTTTCTCACTTTGGGGATTGTCATAGTGTTTCTCATTTTCATTTACCAACCCTTCACTTTGAATACTTTCCTGTACTTCCATACTTTTCTTATCTTCTTTCCTCTGTTCAGAGGATGCAGCAAACACTTTCTTGGCAGTTTCTCTCAGTACTACAGGTTTACTTCCCTAGCTATCTGGTAATTATTTCCTACCACCCACAGGTACGAACCTCCCTGATCTCTGTGCCACATTCTTCTCTTTTCAACTTCCACCATTTAATAGTAGCACAATTTTCACCGGCACCCTGTTGGCCAACAGGACCGGAGGTGGTCGTTGTAAATCCAGGCCCAGAAATCACATTCTTTATGATCTACATGACTGATGTAGCTGAGATTTTGCACCAGCTGCCCTTCCTGATGCAATCCTCCTCATTTTACTGGGTCTGGCACTAGGACTACAGTGGTTTGTGGGCCACAACAGGGCTAGGTTAAACCTGCCACTTTAAATGACTTCTACCAATGCTGCCAAGAAGAGTCGTTAAATATCCAGACAGAATTATGCAAGATTCTTTTGGATAGCTGCTACACGTGCAAAACTCCAACTAGTAAGGGACCTGTATGCATAGTTTTTAATCTGTGTGGATTTAAGAAATCCAAAAAGAATTTGAACTTTTCCACCCAAACTATGTAGAAACATCCCAAAGAGTCAACACAACAGGCTCTAACTTTAAAAAAATGATAAATAAAATCATGGATAGAAATCAGCCAAAGGTATAAAGGGTGATATTTACCTGTTTTATTCATGTTGTGTCGCACAAATCTTTTGCTATATAAATATTTTACCATTGTCACATCCAAAATCCAAAATCCAAAAGTCCATTGAAGTCATTGAATCTACAGCAATATAGTTCTAGCAAATTATAATAATGGATTTATTTGCCCTTCTTTAAACACATCCCAGACTCATACAGGCATCCCTCCAAGAGAGGGGCCTGCTATCAAAGCTAAATTTCGAGGAGCAGGTTTAAATCCTAAAAAAGTAATTTGATTTGATGAGATCTCAGCCATCCTAGGTGATAACACTATCCTAAACCCATTTTTTGGAGAAGGCCAAAATAGATGTTTTGTTTTGTTTTGTTTTTAGAAAAAAATATTGATATTTATTGATTGGTTTCAGAATTATTCTCCTCTAAATGCACAGTAAATTTAGTGGATTAAAATTTATTTCCCCATGAAAGGTAGAAAGGTGGAGTATATCGGAAAAACACATCTAAGCCCACAGTTTGTAACTGTAAATTTTAACTGTACTAAATTTTAACTGTACTGTATTTACATTTACAATACTACTACTGCAGTAATAATGCGTGAATGTCATCTCATGGCACATCTGAACATCAGGTTTGTTCTATACCTTTATTTTGCAATCTGTCTGGTGACAATACAAAGGTCGGGATCAAGGCTCTTGCTTTGAGTTCTTACTACTGGGTTGTGCACTGCTGATGTGATACACACAATGGGGAGTGAAAAGTGAAAGAATGAGGAAAGTCTTGTAATAAGAAAAGCAGAATGCTTCTGAGTGCACTGAAGTGATGGGAAATATATGTTCCCATCTGTTAAGTACTCAACAGATGTAAGTAATAGTGCTAAATGAATGGAGGCAGTTGAGTTAGAAACATCTTAAATAGATGATACTTCCTTCAATGTTTATTTTGTTATTAGCCATCATAACCATCACACTTTGTCTAATAATTTTCATTAGGTTTAAATGGTTATGGTGTAATTAGTCATAACATAAGGATTTTAGTAAGTGATGAAATTACTTTTAATGTGGCTTCCTTGAAAAATCAGTGTGCTGCCCTCTTGCCATCACTGTTTCCGCCTTGTGTCTTTTTAAAAGAAAAATAGGTTTGAGATTGAAAGCTTCTTCAGAGAGAGAGAGTGTAGTAACAAAAAGAAAAGACTGGGAGGAAATATAGATGCTAGTAAATGGCGTCACTTTAAAGACAATGTGAGGTTTATCTGAAGTTCACTTTCCTACAGTTTGGAGCTATGTGAAATGGGGAGCTTTTACCCATCTTCAGCCATAATTGTGGTGAACTAGTCCATACTGTTATTCACACTGGGTGAAATCAAGGCTACCTTGGAACAAATAAAATAACTGTTGTCAAATATACAGCCAGAATTATTCCAGATGCTTGTTGATGGAAACCAAAACTGTCTGATTGAAGTGTAAAATACTAAGGAACATTTAGCCAAATATTAGTGGGAGTATATATATATATATATATATATATACTTTTGAATCTGTATGTATAGTTTTGACTTTGTGTGAATAAAATTAAATCCAAAATAAAATCAAACTTGTGCACCTAATATTTGCTTTTCAAAATCATTAAAGATGTATGGTGTGCAATCATTTGACCCTACAACAATTCAAAAAAATATTAAAATCCCAAACTTACCGTGTCATTGGATGTCTGAAAACCTCAACTATAAGCCAAGGAATGAACCAGTTGTGCCTACACATAATAGACAGCTTAGCGTAGAAGCTATTTAAATGGCATCTTTAGGCAATTTGTTAGTAGCACCTTGTGGCAAAAAATCTAAACAAATTTGTTGGTATTCGTTTAAACACAGAAAAAATAAGACATAAAATAGTATTTTTGCACCAACAGGGTGATTCCCAAAGAGCTATTAGCCAAAGACTTGGCTTATCTCAGCATGGTGTGCAGTGTGTCATTAAAAAAATCAGAGGGAACTAGTCAAATAGAGGACAAAGGAAAAAGATGCAGACCTAAATTACTTACAGCAAATAAACAAGTATCTGAAAAATAAAATGTAGTGATACCAAACACACTGTCTATACAGTAAAAG